GGAGACACTAAAGGGTACTTGAATGAAATATTAAAAATTATGAAGGACATAACAAAGACCAATCAGTCCTTTCTTTTCCCCAGACCCCATAATATGAGAACAAGGGTTACTTGATGAAATTAAAGAGGAGCAAATTAAGTGCTAATAAAATGAGATAGTTACTTATATAATTCATTGCCATGGGAGGTCACAGAGGCAAATTCATTGGCTGGATTAAATATGGGGCTAGATAATTTTATGGCCATGAGTGATCTTTTTAGCAGTCAAGACAGATATTGTGAGAGTAGCAATCTTATTATATCCTCCAGTAGGTGGTTTGCAGGGATCTCTGAAAAGTGGTGTTAGAGATGTCAGACCTTGCCCTAGGTGCAGCTCTAATCATGGGTGCTAACTATAGTAAACACTGGTAGTTTACAGTGAATGGTTCCAAGCATCCAATTCATGCTTTGGTCTCATCTTGTGGAGTCCCAAAGTCCATTCTGGTGAGAAGCATTGGGAAGGACATTGTACAAAATTAGATCATCTCTGGTCTTTGGGAACCACTTAGCCTATGGATAGAGTACCTCCTGCATGGCAGGTAGTTTGCTTGGAGTTTTAAAAGTTGGATGGGTATATAAACAACTCCATATATCAGTGCCATTCTGGGTGAAGCAGATGGAGTGAAAATAGACTGCAGAGTTACATAAAGTACACAGAAACAACATTCCACCTGTGGGGTTTGCAGCTGTGTCCCCCCAGAGGGATGGGCTTCCATCTGTTTGTCCACTGTCAGTAGTTACTTGGCCATGAGCCTCATGGTTGGCGGAGCTCTTCAGTTAGTCAGTGAGATCCTCTCCAGTATTTGGGAAGAAGAAGTTGTACTAGTTCATAGATAAACTAGGAGTTCAGTGTGTCTATCTGGTCCTAGTCCCTTGAGCTCTGCCTAAAGCTAGCTCAGTCTTTGTGGGGGAAGGAAGAGGCAGGAGTCTCTCTGGCCACCAGCATCACTTTTTCCCTGTGAAGTTGACTCAGCAAACAAGCAGGGAAACATCTTTGAGAAGCAGGAGCAGATGGATTGAAATGTTAAAAATCTGTTTTATTAAATGATTTCAGCTAACAAAATAATTTAATTAGAAAGAAAGTACCCAAACTCTGTTCCTTCTTTAGTGATATTTAAATCAGACTATCATTATTAAACATTCAGATTCCAACTAGGAATTTCTGCATCATTAGTATTATACTTTCTTTTTTAAAATTTTTAAAATAATTTTATTGAGAAATAAGTAGCAATGAGATAGTTTCAAAGTATTATATTTTCAAGAAGTAGATGGAAATGGGGGAGAATGTCTTTGGTAAATACTAGTTTTCTTGGTCTCATTTTTAAGATAGCTGCAGATACTTTATTATTGTGTTAGTTGATACACTGTGTCATCTTGGTGGAATCAGCTCTGGCAGATTTCAGTATAGGGGCCTAGCCCTGCAGGTGGGCAAGGCCTAGGAATTGAGAAAGGCAAGAAACCGCCGCCCTGCCTGGTTTCCTGCCGCCTGGCCTGGCTTCGGTGGAGAAGTCTGTTTTCGGAGGAGCTTGATCTTGGTAGCCGCGCCACTTTGGAGGAGCCCCGATCTTCACTGTGGAGCGCTGGTCTTTGCAGTCAGCGCAGAAGGAAGAGAGAGGCTTGACGGATGCCACAGCTGCTGCTCCTCTTCCTCTGCTCTTCGTTGTTTTCTGCCACATGAACTGCTGTCGTTTCCCTTGGAGCCAGCGGAATATGGACTGAACCCTCCAGTAACTGTGAGCTAAATAAACCTTTCCTTTCTTCATTTTGAGTGTCGGGTATTTGTCCCAGCAGCGAGTAAAAAGTAACTAAGACAGAATTTGGTACCAGAGGAGTGGGGTCGTTGCTGTGGCTATACCTGACAATGTGGATTACAAGCTTTTGGGACTGGCTTATGGGAAGAGATAGGAAAGGTTCAGAGATGTCGCCTACAAGCAAAGCACTGAAACAGGTTTGGCTGTTCTGTTTGGGAGAATCTGGCCAGAGCTCAGACCAGAATGCTGATAGGAAGCCTGACTGTAAAGACCAGGTTGGGGAAGTTTCTGCTGGGAAGGACAGCATCAGTTGTTGGACTGTGGATGATTTGTGTTATGGGTTGGCAAAAAGTTTGCCTGCATTTTGCTCCTGTCCAGAGACTTTGCCTGAGACTGAAATTAAACACAGTGGACTAGTTAATCTTGAAAAAGAAATTTTAAAGCAGCCAAATATTGGGGCAGTGGCATGGTTGCTGTTGGGGGCTTTAAGCCAGATTTATGTTAAGAATGAAGAGCAAAAAGCCCAAAAGGATGATTTAAAATGTTGTGAGTTTGGCCAGAAAGGAAGCACCAGGAAGGCTGTGGACTGTGAAAACAAAGCTGAGAGGATCTCCATTGCTGAGAAGGAACAAGAGAGTAGAAAAGCTGTCCTGAGGGCATCACAGGAGGTGGCAGGTTCTTGCCCTTTGCAGCCTCAGAATCACAAGGGTGAAGGACTTTACTTTGAGGAAAAAGCCGCAGAGCCCCATGTTCCAGAATGGAGGCGGCGGACCACACCGGGTTCCAGAATGGAGGCGGCAGCCACACCAGATTGCAGAATGGCCCCAGCATAGAGAATCTGTTTCTCACAATCAGCGTCACAGTGCTCAGCGATCCAGGCACTCGACCCCTGCACCTAAGAGAAAGGAAAGCTTGGATACTGCTCCAGCTGGGAGCAGACCTTGGCATCATCCACGTGGCTTTGGTGGTTGTAGGCACATGTAGAATGCAGGTGTTCTGAGGTTCAAAAGGCTTCTGCCCAGATTTCAGAAGAAGGCCTGGGAGGCCAGGCAGTGTGCCCCTGAGAGGGCAGTGTGTGAAGCTGTGAGTGAGAAGCCTACTCAGTGGAGACCTCAGAAGTTTGAAAAAGCCAGGAATGTGGATGGTCTAAGAAAAGCTGCAAAAAGGGAGCAAAGCAGGCCTGAGAGAAAAGCTACAGGAGCTACCCACAGAAGTGCCTTAGAGGTGGAGCCACATAGGGCTTTTGGAGCTCACAGCTCATTACAGGGTGCTCTGAATGGTCCACAGGGAACTGCAGGACTTAACGTTTGCCGTTCTGGACCTTGGACTTGTTTTGGTCCCAGTTGTTTGTATCCTGCTGTGTATCCCTTTTGGAATGGCAATGCTTATCTCGTGCCTTTGGATGTTGGAAGCATTTAACTTTTCATTTGTAGAGGGGCTCACAGCTAAGAGTTTGCCTTAGATCTTGGAAGCTTGGGACTTGGACTTTTCAGTGTTGCTGAAACTGGTAGGACTTTGGCAACTCTTAGAGATGGACTAAAATGTCTTTTGCATAAACGGTTGTGCATGAGTCTTCGGAGAGCCAGGGGTAACATGTCATGGTTCTAATACAATGTTTGAGTTGTAAAAAAGCATGTCTTTGTACCTGGAAATTGGCTTGAAAAAGTTTATGTCTAGTTGCTAAATTGACAAGGGGTGGATTGTGTTAGTTGATACATTGTGTCAACTTGGCTGAATCAGCTCGGGCAGATCTCAGCGTGGGGACCTAGCCCAGCAGGTGGGCAGGTCCCAGGAATTGAGAAAGGGGAAGCCGCCCTGTGTGGTTTCCTGCCGCCCCTCCCGCTTCGGTGGAGAAGTCTCAGTCTCCGGAGGAGCTTGATCTTGGCAGCCGCGCCACTTTGGATGAGCTCCGATCCTCGCTGTGGAGCTCCGATCTTCGCAGTCAGCGCAGAAGGAAGAGAGAGGCTTGATGGACGCCGCTGCTGCTCCTCCTCCTCTGCTCTTCATTGTTTTCTGCCGCATGAACTGCTGTCGTTTCCCTTGGAGCCAGCGGAATATGGACTGAACCCTCCAGTAACTGTGAGCTAAATAAACATTTCCTTCCTTCACTTTGAGTGTTGGGTATTTGTCCCAGCAACAAGTAAAAAGTAACTAAGACAATTATCATGTGTGTTAGATACACTGTGTGGTCAGTGGTTTTCTGCTGTTATAGAGCTGTGTAATTGAGATGCTTTTTCTAGTGGATAACTTTCTGACAGTAGTTGTCTTTGAAAGATGTCTAAGGTGATTTTTCAATATTGTGAAGCCCTTTGAGGGATGATACAGAAATGAGTTCGCTTGCACAAAGTAAGTGGGCACACGTCCAGTGTCCTGTGGCTACCTATTCCTGGTATCAGTGGAGGATGTTGAAATAGGTGAGCGCCAGGCCTGGTGTGAGGTGTGTGGTTCTCACAGTGAGGACAGTCCCGACCCCCCATGCAGTGAGTATGGGGAGCCCTTGCGCCACGACTCCTTGGGGGAGGGCAGTGCTTGCTGTGGGGCCGAGACACATCCAAGTGTTAGGTGTGCCTGGGAGCTGGCTCACGTTAGCCTGGATACAGTCAGCCGGAATCTGAAAGAGAATGTAGGAACAGGCGGGAGGAAGAAGTTTTCCTCCAGAGGCCACAGAGATGTCTCTCAGAACTTTGACTTTTTGCCTCCCTTTTTTCTAGCTTCTGGTATATCAATGTTGTTATTTCTAATAATGTTTTGAAAAATTCTCCTTTGATGGGCTGCATCCTGTCCTATCTAGGAAATATTAATCTTGTCAGTAAAGGGCTAGTAATCAAGGATTCCTTTAAGCCCCTGCATTAATTCAAGTAAGTATTTATTAATCATTTGCTCTCTGGAACTAGACATTCACAAATAGGCCTTTGCTGTCAGCAGGCACGTGGTGCGGGGCCCCCTCCCCCAGCTGTTATGACTGTTTGTATGGGGAATCGATACAGGTTCTTCAGGCTCCCAGTGTACTCAATGCATGTGAAGTGTGTCTTGTGGTGACCTGCCTCCCTCCAACAAGGTTATGTCTTTGTTGTGTGGAAAAAAAAAGAAACCTATGTTTTAAAAGAACATTGATATCAAATGCTGAATGTGTCCTTTTAAGTACCCTGTAACTAGAGGCGACTGTGTTTAAACTTTTCAGTTTCAAAAAGTGTTGTTCTCTCTCCTTTAGACCTTAGCTGGATCTCCAAAATACAAGTGAATCAGCCGGCAGTTCTGAGGCGGGCAGAACAAATCCAGGCTCGCAGAACTGTGAAGAAGGAGTGGCAGGTAAGGGTCCTTCCTGAGCAGTGCGTCCCTGTGTTTCACAATGCCAGACCTCTTCCCACAAGGCCATAGTATTGAATTTTGCTCAAGATGCATTGAAATTTAAAAGATTGCAGCTGTTCCTGATTTATTTTAATAATTCATATATGATGATGACGGGTTAGAGAAAGATAACACATTTATCCAAACAAGTTAAAAATCTTATCACTCTTGAGTGGCAAAACCGCAAATGAATTTGAGGCATCTTTATTCATGAGTGACTTAAGTGGCGTATTTTCGCAACATACTTACTCAGTTTCTTCGACATGCCTTCTTCAGTTGTCTTCAGTTTTAATTTTAAAGCCATAACATCTAGCCCTGGTATGCCCTGGTGAGGCCTGGAGGTATAAGAATTGACCTTCTTTGACTATCGTGTTTACATTACTGGTAGTTTTAATAAGTCGTTTTTCACAGTTCCCTAAATGTTTGCCAGAGTCCTCGTGGTCAGCATTTTCTTCAGCATCTGCCCCCCCAAAGCCGTGCTGTGCAGGACTAAGTGGGATTCAGAGTCCCTTTCCATGGGAGGCAGGATATTGTGAGTGAATCCTTCAGAGTGACATTGCACGTTTTGCTCATCCTTGGAAATGGTCTGATTGAAAATATAAAAGGAAATTTATCACAATGAGTTGCGAAATGATGATTGTTTTAAAAATGGCATTGAGTTAAATTGAAAAGAAGCAAGTCACTTAGAGACTTAAAAATAGTGTCTCATGTCTGGCCCTAGAGTGGGAGAAAAAAATTAAGGTAGAAGTCTCCCAGAATTCTTCCATCAGTGTAGCCATTGCGGATTCTGCAGTGCATGGGAAGGCCAAGTCATAAGTGGGAAACATGGCAAACCAGAGGTTTCAGTGTGACGTATCTGTGGAAAAAAACCCCAAATCTTGAAAGCTACTTTTCCTGTCTGTTTGATCCTGGTAGGGCTCATCTTGAATTATGTTTCTGTTCTATATCACAGTATGCCTTAGAACAGTGCAGATGTCAGGCATTAGTTTCCCTATTTGTCTGATGATTTTCTACTAGCAGAGTTGGAAATTAATTTTATTTTGTATTTGTTTTCTTTTTCCTTTCTTCCTACCAGGCTGCTTGGCTCCTGAAAGCAGTTACCTGTATAGATCTCACTTCACTGTCGGGTGATGATACCTTTTCCAGTATTCAAAGGCTCTGTTATAAAGCCAAATACCCAATCCGGGAAGATCTCCTAAAAGCCTTACATATGTATGATGAAGGTAATGTTCTGTATAATGCATTTGGTGTTTGTCTGCTTACAGTACTAATTACTAGCTCAGAGAGCCTAAGATTCAGCTACAGAGATGACAGTAGTGATAAAGTCTGCAATTAAAACTCTGGCCATGTGTGTATAAACAAATAATTGAGATTCTTCCTTGAAAAATAACATGAAGGGAATCTGAGGCCTTTTTTTTAGGTCAGTTCTTATTTTCAACGGATTAAAGTTTTTGGTGGAGAGTTTTCTTATATCTTTTCAACTGTTTACCTTTGGAAGTTTTCTATCTAGTGACTCTAAAATACTGATTCTGATTCCCTAGCCATATGTGAAAAACATAGTCTCATTACTTAATAATCACATCTCATACATAAAAGTATTTTTTGTGAGTAAATGAAATACGTTAGAGAATAAAATGCAAATGGTAAATATTGCATGCTTGTGTATTAGGTCTTTCACTCCCTCAGTAGGCACAAGAAAGGATTTCTAAAGTTGCCATAAGATTGGAGCTTAAATTAGAAATGGACTCTCTCTGTGTCTCCCTCCTGGGGATTGAATCCAGGGCTATATCCTCACTCTGTTTTAAAAACTTTTTATTCTGAGATAACATTTTTTTTTTTTTAATCTGTTTAGTACAGGGTCTGCAGGGTCCCACTGCACAGATCAGACTCATAGTGATCACTACCATTGCTTGACCAATTTGCTGTCTGTGAAAGCCTGAGAGAATGTTTTCTGTCCATGTGACTCTCCTTAGGCACACTCTATATCATCAATCACCTTCCTCTTTGGCCCCATAATCTTGGGCTGACTTTAGGAGCCACAGCTCCTCTTTGTTTTCTGGTGCTGGGATTGAACCCTGGGCCTCGAACACAAACTATGTGACTGATCACTGAACTACACTCACAATCTCAAGTATGTTTTCAGCCTCCCAAGAACTGCGAATACAGGCACACCTAGTCTCAATTTGCCTCTCAGTGCACCACCCCGGGGCGAGGGCAGCACACTGGGGAAGCTCTGTCCACGCATCTGGCTAAGCAGGTACTTTAGTCTGCTGAGCTATCTGGCTGGCCCTTGAGATAGGATCTTCTTAAGTTGCTGAGGGGCTGACTTGTGATTCCCTCTTCAGCCTCCCAAGGTGCTGGGATTACGGGTATGCACCGCTATGTGCCCAGCTCTTTCTCTTCCTCTCTAAGCCAGGAAACTGAGAAATAGAAGGCTAAGAGATGCTTCCAGCATGGTGTGTCTTGCTGTTGAGTGGGCTGGCTTTATTTTTTTTTCCATAATTTTATTGAGAAATAAATAGCAGTGAGACAGTCTCAAATCAAATTGGTAGGACAGTTCCAACAATCAACACATTGCATACTGTCTTCCTAGTGGTCATTTGTTGTACGAGATGCAGATATGACATCCTATTTACAAACACCTTTAGAACAAATCCCTCTATTCATCAAGAGAATGTACCTATATATCTATCCTAACTATCTTGAATATACAGATGTAAAAAAGCCATTCATCTGTATCCCCCTTTTTGTTTAGTTCTGTCATTTAAATATTATAGGTGTGTGAACTCAGCAAAATATTCTAAGAGTCCAGTAGCCCATAATAGTATTGGGTCTTCCGCTTGACTGGCAGTGTTAGAAGTTGTTGACCTGAGTCCCCTACAGCTCAACATAACAACTTGGCTTTACTTCTTATATTTTGTTTTTATACTTTTCTGTTGGATGGTTAAGAACAAGATAAAGCAAGACCTATGGAACAAGAATTGTAGGTTTGGATCTGATAAGGTCAGTCAGATCCCCTCAAGATTTAACCTGAAACCCTATACTGCAGTTTATAGATCCTTTGTCAGTGTCAGCCTTGTGGATAAGTCATGGCCATTGCTTGACCAGTTTGCTCTCTGTGAAAGCCTGAGAGAATGTTTTCTGTCCATGTGACTCTCCTTAGGCACACTCTACATCATCGATCACCTTCCTCTTTGGCCCCATAATCTTGTGCTGGCTTTAGGAGCCACAGCTCCTCTGTGTGGATGGATGCTTCTTAGTTCCACAGCGCCTGCCTATCTATTATAAGTGTGAATATAGAAGTCACACTAGCTGGAGGCAGGCATCACAGTAATTTTTGAAGTATTGTGTTTCGTTCTGGTTACAATAAGACACCTTATTGAGACTGTGAGTGTAGTTCAGTGACCAGCCACATACTTTGTGTTCGAGGCCCAGGGTTCAATCCCAGCACCAGAAAACAAAAGAAAAGACAACTAGAAACTCTCACCTTCTCTGTAGCACAAAAAATAACAACTTTGCATGAGTTTATTCTATTGCTCGGTTTTACAGTGGCTACTTTTTTATTTTGTTAAACTGAGGAGTGTATACTTTCTAATGAGGACTGCAGGTTCAGGTTTTATTCCTTGCAAAAGAAAAAAGAGTTTAGTTAAATGTCATTTTGTTGTACTCCTATAAATTTCATTGAACTTTTTCTTCATCTGTTGTCCTCTTTGAATGTTGTACCAACCTAAGCTTTATTTTCTACATGAAATAAAGTATTTTCATTGAGTCATGATGACTGCCTGTCTTTTTAGGAATGTGAACAAAATAGTGGGACACCTTAATGTGCAAGAGCAGTGTAGCAGCATTATTTCTATGAGCATAGCAGTCAGAAAATGATCCATGTTTTCGAGAACTACGAGGCAATGTGGAAAAACCTTTTAATTTGCTGCTGTATTGTGGGGGAATTAGTTTTTCTCTCATTTTGATTTCTGCCAATGTTGTAGTATAAACAGTAATTAAAAGCATACTGTCCGAGTTGAACTTCTCATGAAATAGGCTGTTATGATTTCTTCCTTCGAAGGCATCACTACGGCTGCCGTTTGTGTTTATCCTGCCCGGGTTTGTGATGCTGTGAAAGCACTAAAGGCTGCGGGCTGTGACATTCCAGTGGCGTCAGGTAAGTTTAGTTGTGGCTTTTGAAGTTTTGAACATGTTCCTGTCCTCAGTCAGACAGTGTGGGATATTACACTTGCATTTATATTGCTGGGTAAATTAATTTACATGAGGGGGGCCTGCCCAGTATCTCAGTTGTTGAAGTGCCTACTTAAGGAAAGGAGTCAGGCTCAGATTTCTGTGGTTCAATCTTCAGATCCTCATGATTTTTGAGACCTGCCCTTAAGGCATCCTGAGCGGACCAAAAAAAAAAAAAAAAACTTCTGAAAAACTCTTTGAGAAGTGATGGGTGTATTGTTCACATTTGTGCCTAGGTGTCTGAGGAGTATCATCTTTTCTGTGATGGTTGACCACAACTTGCTGATTCATGGTCCATTTCTGGCTTTAAATTCATGAGTGCTACAGCCACCCTGGGGTGGGTAATCTGCATACAATATAAGGGACAGGAAGGTTCTCCCTAACTTGTTGCAGTTTGTTTTCTGGCATCACGAACTGTTGCCCCTCTGCCATGTGCCGCCCTGCCTTGGCACCAGCCGATTATGGACTGAAGCCTGTATAATTTGTGAGCTAAATAAACCTTGTCCCTTTAAAAAAAAAAATTAATTTACATGACTTATATTGATTCCTGATTTTAATATATTTTCATTCCTTGTTGGAGAACAGACCTTAACTCCTAAGAATATAGCACTATGTCTCCATCTTTAAGGAAACTTAGCTTGTGTAGAAGGGATAATCAGGTGGAAAAATTACAGTGTGTGATACAGTATTGTACATACATGCTCATTATGCAGATTATTCTGGTGTAGATATGTATATGCCATGGACATGGAAAATACAATAATGAAGACATCCAGGTGGCCATAGTGGTGGTAACTCTGAGCAGGGAGTGATTTTTTTTTTTTTTGCAAATCAGAGAGTGGGAGAATATATCCTAGAGAAAGAATACATCCTAGCAAAGAGATCATTATTTTTTGGAGTTCTGAAGGATAAAGAGGTGATAGTGTGATAGGGAGGGAATGGCATTTGGACAGAGGAGCTGACCTGTGGAGCCGCAGGCGTGTGTGGAATAGGAGCTGAGAGGGGTTTGTAGTCGTTGGATCTAAGAGTAAGGCTCAGTGGGAGCTGTGGGGGTTGGAGCTGGAGAGGTGTCTCAGGGCCTGGTGTCAGGGAACGTTCCTGCAGTATTTGAGCTTCATGTATAGATGTAGCTCACTGAGCTTCTGGGACAAATTAGAGAAGGGAAAAGGAGAACTGGGGGCTTGTCCCAGACAGGTGAGAGAGGAGAAGCCCAGGAGACACGAGAAATGGCGCCTGCAGGAGCCCTTGACTCAAGGTAGAGTTGGAGGGACTTGGTAGGCGGGAGAAGACATTCTGAGGTCTCATTTTATTGACTGTCTGATGGACAAATAGGCAGATTCCAAATCAGGTTTTACTTTTAAAGATGTTTGAAGAGTATCCTGGGGCTTTGAACAAGTGGTCTGTAAAGATCACTAAAATGTTTTACAAGGAGCACATCAAAAGAAACACGGTATACTGTATATACAACTTATTTGCATGGAGACATAGAGTTTTGGGGACTGTAGCTTCTTATCAGCTGCAAATCAGTTCTGTTTTTCCTTTATTCAGCGGGAAGGTGTGTCTTCCTCTACGGAAGCAGACCAGGGAATTGAGTATCACCAAGGAAAGATGGTAGATGCTCTTTACAGACAGGGCTGGAATGAATGGTTTATAAAAAATATCAATTTGTTCCAAAACGTACTTCCATTTTCATCTTATTTAAAAGTGATAAAAAACCTTTTACAAGCACAGATATATTTTCATTTTTCTTAATTTATTCTTGGTTTTCTGTCACCTGCTGTGTTCTCCACTTCTTTGGACTGATAAGGTGCTTTTCCATCTCATACCTTCTTTGTTTGCATGCGCCTAGCTAGTTTTTTTTAAGACAGGCAGTGAAGCGAAATTATGTTATAATCTGTTTTCTGCAACTAAAGGAAGTAAATCAAGACCAAATCAACAGGAAATGAGTAAATGAAGATGGCCAACTTGATCAAGAATAGGACCCTGAATAACTAGTCTTCACCAAAACAATCTATAACTGCTATTTTATGATGGCTGCTGTGTCAAGAACACATTTTCTTAATTGCTAGTTACTCAGTACACCCTCATAAGCATCTCTGCACATCTGAATTCACTGTCTTCCAGAGAATATGTTAGTATTTGTCCTGACACAAAAGCAGTGTGAGATAGCATTCTCTTTCTTCACATTTATGTTATGTATAAGTGAAGTCTTTTTTTTTTTTTTTTTTTTTACTTTGTTTTTGAGACAGGATGTCACTGTGTAGCTCAGTCTGGCCCTGATTTTTTTTTTTTTTTTTTTTTTGCGGTACCAGGGATTGAACTCAAGACCCTGTGCTTGCCAGGCAAGTGCTTATTCTACTGAGCTATCTCCCTGGCCCTGGCCCTGAACTTGTGATCCTCCTGCATCAGCTTCCCTAATGCTAGAATGGTAGGCGTATACCACCATGCTTAGCTGTATAGATGATGTTCTCCAGTGGCATTAATACTTTGGTTTCTAATGTTGGGTTGTTTTGGGGGTAGGTTGGAAATAAAATTCTTTGTTTAATTATTAACCAGTTGAAACTGGTTTGTCTTCCCTCTGTCTTCCTCCCTCCTACCTTCCCTCCCTCCCTCTCTGTTTAGTGGCCACTGGCTTTCCAGCTGCACAAACTCATTTACAAACACGATTAGAAGAGATCAGATTGGCTGTGGAAGATGGGGCTACGGAAATCGACGTGGTCATTAACAGGACTCTGGTGCTGACCGGCCAGTGGGAAGGTAGGTGCCTGTCCTTGCCTAAAACAAACCCCGCTCTTCCCTGGGGAATTGAGTGGAAAACAGTGGGCATCTGGGAAGAGGCAGTATGTTTTGGAGATTCCTGCTGGAGGTTGCAAGCCATGAGATCAGAGGGTGAATTTAGGAGAAAACATGGCTAAGATCGCTAGCCCTTATTCCCCATCTAGGCAGGTTCCTGTGCGTATGCACTTTTTATTTCCTTTTTTGGTGCTTAGGTGAATAGTTATTTGCATGCAATAGATGCACAAACTTAAAAAAAAATTTTGTATTACTGATATGCTTTTCTTTTAGAAGGGACTAGTAACTAGCATTCTGTGTCACTCTGTGCTGTTATGTTACTCAGCACGTGAGCCACTCAAGGCAAGGCTTTTACATAATGTACTTGTTTGTTTGCCTGTCTGCGCATCAATCCAGTCTCAGTCTCTGTGTCGTCTTCTCTATCCCTCTTCCTCTCTCTCTATCCTTCTTGTGTGTGTGTGTGTGTGTGTGTGTGTAGTACAGAGGAACCCAGGGCCTTTGCACTGAGCTGTGGTACCAGACATTTTTATTTTTTGAGCAAAGGTCTTTCTAAGTCTCTAGATTGACCATGCTGGCTGCAAGCTGTGACCCTCCTAGTTGGGCCGCCCAGCATCCTGAGCTTATAGGCAGGTAGCACCATGCCCAGCTCCCAAAATTTATTTTGATAGCTGGGGAAAGCCTTTCTTTTTTATGTTAATCTTTGTGGATCTTGCAGATGTGGTTTATTAATAAGTTTATCAAATTTGTTTCTATTCCTAATGTTCTTACATGTTATTTATATATTATTCAATATTCATCTTTAAGATTGATGATTCACTATTAATGATTAATGCTTCAGTAGATTATAATAAGATAGTGCCCATTCTGGTAATGACACTTACTATAATTAGACATTAAAAAATCGAATAGATTTGCCTTAAATATATTTTGTGTACTAAAAATGAAGACATTGATAATGAAAGTATAATTTTGTCTAAAAAGTCATTATAACAAGTAATTTAATCAGAAATGTATAATGAAACCACAAATTAAAGCCACGGCACTATATTTTTTTCTTTTTTTTTTTTTCTTTTTTGGCGGAACCGGGGATTGAACTCAGGCCCTTGCGCTTGCCAGGGAAGCGCTTATTCCACTGAGCCATCTCCCCGGCCCTATATTTTTTCTTAAGCATTTTTTTTTTCAGGTTTTGTTTTTTAAGATCGCGTCTTATTGTGTAGTCCAAGCTGACTTCATATTCCTGCCTCAGCCTCCTGAGGGCTGGGATTGCAGGATTGCATCATAATGCCTGGCAAGATGTGTATATATCAATTAAAAGGGATACTTTATTCTAATTATGAAAATTTACCAAAACACTATTAAGATTCCAATTAGTGATAAAGGAAATTAATAGTCTTCACAATTTTATTCCTAAAAACAAGCTCAGGTAAGACTACAATGCATATTTTTCCAGACTTTTTTCTCTCTATATGCACACATATGTTACTTACTTTTAAAACTTTTAATGTTATATTTAATGTATTTTGTGTGTGTGTGCCAGAAATCTAACTCAGGACGCTGTGCTTGCCAGGCAGGTGCTATGCCACTGAGCTCTCTCCCCGGCCCTATTTAATGTACTTTTGCTTAATCAGCTTATTGGACTTCTCAGTGTCTCCTGAATTTCTCTCTGTGGTGCTATCTTTCTAGACACGGGTCCTCCCTTATCCTCAGGAAATGTTTTTTTAAGACCCCTAGAAGATACCTGAAACCTCAGATAGTACACACTACTTTTCTTATATGTTTATGTCTATCATGAAGTTTAGCTTTAGATGAGTTAAGCATCTTAGTTGGTCAATATTAATAGCACAGCACAGTGACAACAGTGTCCTGTAATGAAAGGTCAAGGGCTCTGTTTCTCACAGTATCTTCTTGTACTGTCATCACCCGAGTTGAGGTGATGGCAGAGAGCACAGTGCCTGTGCCACCAGGCAGTGGGGTGAATGCCGCAGGCACTGTGACAGCACTAGGCTGCGATCCTTGGTTACTTCTGCATCAGCACTGCAATACAACCAGTCAGTCTGATAACTGAAATGTACTTACTTGACAAAGGGCCAGGTGACATGTCCAGCTTGAGTACACCCTGGGCAGGACAGAGTGGGACAGCACAAGATCTCCTCTCCCTACTCAGGATTTGGTGCATTTTAAATCTTACAGATTGTTACTTCTGGAGTTCTCCATTAAGTAGTTGTGGATGGTAAATGATCCTGGAAAAGTGAAGCTGTACAGTGAATCCCTGGGGCAGAGGGAGAAGCGCTGCGTCTATCTGTCTGTGAACGTGATTTTGTTATTAGTTACGAATTACTTGTGGTGGAAAGTTCCAAGGTTCAGCTAGGGCGTTAATCACACAGGCATTGCTCCTCCTGCATGAAGCCAGTGGGAGATGTTGGTGGTGTTGTGGGAGCTCCGCAAGGATCTCGGAGACGTAGGCTACGTCCTGTTCCAGTTCCCAAGCACATGGCAGCTAGTGCCACACTGGAGGGCACTCCCTGTCTAAGAGAGCTCCTTAGGGCATAGATGGCAGTTAGGGCTGTCTACCCCACCTGGCAGTTTCATACCATACTTCCTACGTCATGTAGGCCAGAGCCGAGTGACGTGGCCACTCTGATTGGCTGTAAGTAGAGCTGGAGAATGTGTTCTGTAACTCGGAGTATTAGTGACACTCTTGTATGTTCCCTTTTTCATTGCCTTCTCTCCCATCCCTGTCCCCTCAGTCTGTACTTATCGATACTGTTAGTACTTGCTGGGTTTGCATGCATGATTGTTCACAAGTATCTTATTGTTAGTTTGGGTTCCTTTTCTCATCATTTGTGTGTGTTTTGAACAATCTCAGTTCTTCCCTCTTTGAGACTGAGTCTATAGTCCGAGCCAGTCTTGCACTTACTGTGTAGCTCACACTCTCCTTGAACTTGTGTTCCTCCTGCCTCAGCCTCCTGAGTGCTGAGACTACAGGGCTATCTCACCATGCTGGGATTTGCAGTCATTCTTTTTTTTAATCTTTTATTTATTTATTTGGTACAGAGTCTCACTCTGAAGGTTGGACTCATAGTGATCTTCCTGTCTCAGCCTCCCCAGTGCTGGGGTTATAGGCGTGCACCACCATGCCCAGTTTCTATAGCTGGCACTTGGCACAGCATGTAGTGCCAGGGATCCAGCCTGGGTCCTTGCACTTGCCAGGCAGACGCTTAGGCTGCTGAGTTCTCTCCCTGGCCTGCAGTCATTGTTAAAGGATTTATTTTAAATAGATATCCCTGTTTTTGTGTATTAATTCTATTTATCTGTTTTTAGTCACAGATTCTAGTTAAGATTTAAGGGTAGAATAAGAAGAGAAAGTGCATACACTTAATATTATGTTTGTAATACTAATAAAACAAATCTGGAAATGAAATTTGTGTTATTTAATTGGATAAAACCTCTATGTCCTGTATGTGTTTTTATCATGCAAGTGCATATAGGTGTGTAGTTGATTTATTTATTTGGTACCAGGAATCAGGTGTACAGCTTATATTACAACTTGTGCTTTTGTCTCTCAAATACTACTAATTGGAAAATAAAACACAATAGGAGCTGGGATTTGATATATAATTGGCTATGCCTTAATGAGCCAGGAATGGTTGTTTTTAAAAACTGATAATTTCCCAATAGCAGGCATTCATGCAAAATATAATAACATGTCTTTGTCTTACACCATACTTTTCTATTAACTTTTTTTATGGTGCTAATAATCTCTTGCCCAGAAACAAATTGGAAAGAAACATTTAATACCAGAAATTTATTTCTGCGTAGAAATCTACAATCACTTAGGACTTTTTTTTCATTGTAATATTTTGTCTTCAATTCTCAATTTGATTACACATTATATTTTTTCAATCTCATGCTTTAGCATAAGACATTTACTAAAACAGGAGTCTAAAGTTAATTTTTTTTTTTTTTTTTTTTTTTTTCTGTATTTAGTACAGGGTCTGCAGAGTCTACAGAGTCTCATTATCCTCCTGTTTTGAGCCTCTCAGGTGCTAGGATTACAAGCGCATGCCACCTCGCCCAGTTTCAATTGCTGTCTCAGTGTCGCTGCTCAGTGTGCCCCCAGGGGTGGGGCTGGCACAGCATGCTGGGGATCAAACCCTGGCCACTGCGCTCTGCCTAAGCGGGTGCTTTAGTTCACTGAGCTATCAGGTTAAAATTAATTTTTTTGAAGTATGCTGATGAACATAACCTGTTTGATAATACATGATTGCTGCAGCTTCAGGTCTGGGGTGCTGTGGGGTGTACAGGCTACCTTGTAAGTACAAAAGAGTCTTCCCTGTTGTTCAATCTTATTTTTACTTTGTTGGTACTGGGATTGAACCTAGAGACTACTCATGCAGCTACATTCCTAGGCTTTTTCCCTTATTTTGAGACAGGTTCTAGCTCAGTCTCACTAAATTGCCCAGGTTGGGCTTGACCTTGGACTCCTCTTGCCTCCGTCTCCCAGGGTGCCAAAACTACAATGTAGGCCACCTCAGCTGGCTAAGAATCTCACTTTTTAGACCTAGGCATCGAGAGTGCCTCCTGTTTCTCATGGTCCACCCAGGTCCATGGTGAGGACATACTCGAGGAGGGGACCACAGGGGGCTCTGGCTTCTCCTTAGTGACCATTTGATGTCTCTGCTCTCCTCATATACCAAACTCTTCCACCCTCCTTGTAGCTTCTTTCCTCTCAGCAGATCCACTTGCTGCTTCTCAGAGGCAGCAGGCGATCGCATAGGAGCTCCTTCAGAGTCCTGTCGGGTGTGCCTTTTTCTGCTGCTGCTTCACTCCTTTCCCCAAGTCAGCCCCTCTCTGTGGCTCTTGTCTCTGCTGCATTTGCAGAGGCCCTTCCTCTGTGTGGCACATCTTTTCCCTCCTGTATCTCTAGTCTCTCTCTTTCAGCTCATTTCCATCATGCATTTAAA